GTTCATTTCAGACAACAGTTTAATGAATAGCTATTAATAAATAAGCAATAAAAAATTAATCAATTTTCATTTCTGCTAAAGTTTCATTTCTGCTAATGACAAGACCCATCCCGAACGAGGGGAAGATGGGGTGTGATAGGGAAATTCCACTCACACTCCTCCAAGCTCTTATATAAGCATTGGAGTTTGGCGCATTTGTGCATTTAGCATTTCAGTTGACAAGTTTTGAAGTATAGTTGGCAAATGTCAAATATCGAGAACTTTTTTATGTGTGTGTGGGTCTCTAGTTGGCAAATACCACAACGACCCCCTTTCCCGATAAGAGACCTCTTCGGGACGGCGCAAACAACAACTACGCTAATTAAGAGAAGCGGAAAGCAGCAGAATAGCTACTTATATACCCAACTACTTTACGGTAAATTTTATCAGGCCCTCCAGAAATAAGTGCAGAGATAGAATTATTTGGAGGCTGCCTTCAATGGCTTATGCCTCACAACTTGCTGCGGCCGCCAAATTAGAGGCGAAAATAATTGCCTTGCGGCGACGGGTGTAATGAAAAATAATTGCTCATTTGTTATAAAGCAATTAAATAATAAATAGAAACAAGTGTTAAATATTTGACATCAAGTTTTATTTTTGAGTATTTATAAAAATAATTTTCTAAGTTTTTTTTTAAACTAACAAAATAAATAATAAGTAAAATAAATAATTAGCTTTTTTTTTTAAACTAATAAAATAAGTAATAAGTAAAATAAATAACTAGCTTTATTATTCAAAACAAAAGTTGAAAGTTGGAAATTTTACTTCTATTCCATTGGCAAATAAATCTTTTTGACGAAAAAAATTATTAGAAGTAATTAAATTGACAGATTTGGGTTTAAAACTTTCAGAACATGTCGACATGTTCAACTTTTTATCTGTTTTATCATTCAACATAACGTTACATACTTATATAATAAACAACGTTATATTAAACAACGTTAAACTCTGATTCGTCTAATTACCGTCCCATTTGTCTTTTTCCTATCAGGAGCAAGGTTTTTCAATATTTAATTAACAAATACTTAATCTCTCATCTTGGATTTAATAATTTACTTTCAGATCATCAGTATGGATTTTGAACATACGGTAACATCTTTAAGATTATTGAGTCCTTCTTTTCCAATTGTAGAATACAAGTTTTCGATGGACAGCACGTGTTTCCATCAGAGCTTTGCTTGACCATCTCTTTCGATTTATTAAATTTATTTGCCGGTTATAGAGGAAAAAAGCTCTTATAAACCTCGAAGAAAAATTATGGAACAAAGACATCTTATATATCAATAGCATGTATCTGTAATTATGTTGTATATCAGTATTTTTTATATAAATGTCTATTACATTTTAGTGTGATTTTTATCTTTTATGCCCAGTTAGTAATGTATTTGGAGAATTTTATACTAATTATGTTTTTCATGCTCAAGGTATGGAAGGAAATAAATACGTTGGTATTGGATGGTATTGTTGATTAATAATAATGCAGAAGTTTGTTTTTCATGCTCAAAGTATGGAAGGACACAAATACGTTCTGCAAGGTCGTTATAGGTAAAACACAATATTTGTATTCAACATCACATAGAGTTGTTTTTAGTAGTTCCTCAATTTTTTAATAATTTGTTGTATTTGTTTAATTCGAAATCGCTACTGACAAAATTTTGTCAGTAGCGATTAATACTTTTAAAAGTATTAAAGAAAAAACTGTCAGCATACTGGCGACGGCCATTGATAAAGATTTCGGAAGAAAAAACAGAACCATAGCTAGGCAACGCCTAATATTGAGCAATGAAATAAGTATCGGCAAAAAAAGTCAATGCCCACTATCTGGTCGTGAGAGTATAATACAGTACTTTATATTGTAAAAAAAATGTCGCCCCAATAATGGGGTTACAATTCTAGCCGATATTGGCGTAATATAATTTACAATATTATCCCAATATATATAACTATAACAGGCTAACGTATCGAATATTTTTAACTAAATTTTTATTATTTAAAAACCATAAAAAAAGTTCTCTTTTTAAATACAATAACTATGTGTGTATATATATATATATATATATATATATATATATATATATATATATATATATATATATATATATATATATATATATATATATATATATATATATATATATACATATATATATATATATATATATATACATATATATATATATATATATATATATATATATATATATATATATATATATATATATATATATATATATATATATAACAAAAAATGAAAAGATAAAAAACTAATGCAAACACCCAAATATAAATACACGCCCAACACTTAGGGGTATTTTTACATACGATTTAATAAGATATAGTATAAAATTGTTTACATCCTCACTAATTAACAAATGATAAAATTAAATTGTGTAAATTTTACAATTAGGTTTTTATATGTTTATGTGGATATGTGTAAAATTATTAAGTAAAGTCAGAGTTCTTTAAATCAAATAATGAGTACTCTAATTTAACGCCTTAGAAGAAACTTAATTTATTGTCTTTTAGTAAAAGAACTTGCATGTGTGTTTTTTTCAAATTGGTTAAACGAAGAGAGATAACATTATATTAAAGAATAACATTATAATCGCCTTTACAGTTATAAAAAAAAAAAAAACAGGCAAAAAAATCTAATAGTAAATTTGTACATGTAAAAAATAAGTTATAAGAAATCAAGGACATATCAAAAAGAAGTAATCTAAGGACCGAGGGAACAAATGAAGATTAACAATAAAACTGGCAATTGAGTAAGGTAGAGGTTTTAAATTTGTTTCAAGAGCTCCCTTGGCTTGGAAAATAGAAATATTAGGCAAACACATTGCACTGATATGAGTAATACTAAAAACTTGATGAAACAACTAAAGTGGAAAAAGATTCAGGATTCGCCTACACATATTACTATAAGTTAATCAAATGTGATTAGAAAGCAAAGGAAAGTATTTTATATTTTTAAAATTCTAGTTTGGTTTTTCAAGTTTAAATGTTTATCGAAAAGTAGTTTAAGTATTTTAATATTGTTAATTTTGAGTAATTTTAATATTGCTAACTGTTACTTTTGTTAGTTTAAGTGAAAGTTTTACTGATTTAGATTGTTTTACAAACAGCTTGACATTTAAGGTATTTGAAACGGCTTTTTCTTTTGTTAAATTAAAAAAAAAAATTACATGGGTTAGACAAAATATTAATTAATACGCTATCTTCAAATTAAAAAAAGCAAATCTAGACAGTTCTTCTATATAGTTAAAAATTCCTTGAACCAAAAAATATTTCCTAATGTAATAAAAACTTGAAAAAGTAACTCCATTTTATAAAAATAATGAACTTAGAAATGTTTTCAATTACAGACCTAATGCACTGTTTTCAGTATTTTCAATGATACTTGAGCGTGTTACTTAGATTAGAATCATTGACCAATAAAAAAAAAAAAAAAAAAAAATATCAAACAATTTAGGTTAAAGAAAAATCATTTAACTGAACATGCAACTATTGAATTAGTTGATCAATTAAATAATGGCTTAAATAAAAGCAAATTTACCTAAGGCATTTTTTTTGATCGAACTAATGCTTTTGACATTGTTAATTATTGCGTCTTGTTAGAAAAGCAAAAGTATTTTAGGGTAAATAACAAGGACTACAACTGGACTAAAACTTACATAATTGATAAAACACAACAAGAACAAAAGAAGCAATACGAAATTCTCAAAATCCTGTCTGAAGGCAACAAAATTAAACACTAATAATAATCCTTGTGAATCAACAAAGACATTACTGATTACATTAAAACAAATCAATTATTTTTTAAGGCAATGTATTGTATAAATACAATCACTTTTTAAACTAGGTTTTTTTAAAAAAATCTGTTAGGCTTTTATTTAATATTTTACACTTATTCTTCAATTATTGTCATTTTTAAAAATAGTTGTTTTGTGATCACTACTTCTCTAATAAATTAGAGATAGGGATTTTTCTATTTTTGTGTTGACTAAAATAATGCTCAAAAACTTTAAGTGCAAGAAGGCTGTAGACAATAAAAGCCCTTAATAACCCGTAAATTTGTAATTTAAAACAAAACTTGTTTTATAATTGATTTTTAAAAATTATTAAGTTTTTTTTCATCCTCATGATCCACTAAGATACTTGGGCACCCAAAGTTTTTTCTTTAAAAAGCAGAGGTTTTAAAAATGTAGCATATGTGCTCATTTTACAAGAACCACTAGGTAATACGAACACTTTAATAAGCTCAAATAAATAATAATAATTAAGTAAAATATCATTTATGCGACAATTAGAACTATGTTTTGAAATAAAATGATTCGTTAATAATAAAACTTATTATTAATAGATCAAAATTTGAACCACTCTGAGAGTGCTAATATGTTTTCCGCAAAAAAATAAAAATAAAGTTCGTTACTTTTTTATTCTTATTGACTTAAACCTTTGAACAGTTCAAATTCAGAACTTTTGAATTAAAACTGCAGAAAAATGTTTTGTATTGTTAAAGTATTTGGATTTTTAATATGTTTTTTTTTAATTTAAAAAGCAGTTAAAACCACTGCTATTTTAGGTCTTTAAACTAAGAAATTTTAATGCAAAACACTGGGAAAATTGAGCATTACACAAAAAAGGCATCTATTAAAAAAGTCAAATCTAAATGTTTTTATGGATTAATTTTTGAACAAAAAATAGTTCGATTTGTAGCTATAAAATATTTTTTTATAAAAACACTAATTTCATTATTTTAGCGCTAAAAACTTGCGCCACAGATTTATTTATGCGTGGAGATATTATTTTAGCAATGCCAAAAATTTACACAAATTGTATTGATTTCTGCTATCCCCACATAAAATCAATTCAAAAAATACAAAGCAACTTTAACTTTAATGCTTGCACCTAAGAAATTGTTGTGCATGCTCATATTACCAAAGCGTTCATATTACCTTAATCTACCCAAAGTCTTGTTAGGTCTCGATCACAAATCACAATTGCAAAAAAATGTTTTTTCTTTTAAATAATTAAAAAAGTCTTTGTAATGGCTTTGAATTAAGCTTATCTTTTTTTTATAAAAAAATTATGAAAAGTCCAGATTAGAATCTAAAAGATGACCTTTCAGGATGTTCTGAAAGACGGCTTAAGTTACCCTTTCCGTTTAAGTATAGTTTTACAAAAATAGTTTAGAAAAGGCGTCTTTTAAAAGTTAAAAAGACATTTTATATGAAATGAGCTTCTTTTAGAAATTACAGAATCTATAGGGTTTTTGGAACAAAAATTACGGTTGAGGTTTAACTACTAACCACAACTTCGAAAAAATTATTTTATACTATTTGTTAAATTAAACCAACATTTACTAACTTTAGGCGACTTTTCTCAATATCACCTTAGTTATGCACAAATATCAGATTACATTTGTCTGCTACACCGTTGACCCGTTTGCATCATTTAAATTATTTCTTTTTTATTGAGTCGAGATTTATAAAAGTCAAAATAAATTATTTGGTGCTCTTATCATACTAAAAGATATTTTGATTGGTTATCCAATATTCATCAGTTTTTAAAAATCTAAAAAACGAATACAGTGCACATAAAATACCAAACGTTTTGGAAAATCTAGTATTTCTTAAATCCTGTTCTTAGAAAACTGTTCTAATTAAACAAAATTGGTGTTTTTTAAAGCAATATATTGTATAAATACAAACACTTTTTTAACTAGTTTGTTATAAAAATCTGTTAGCCTTTTAAAGGCTTAAGTTTATTTTTTAAAGCTTATGCTTCAAAAAATTTAATGCCGTTAAATAAATTTTAAAGTTTTTCAAAGTTACTGAATTATAAACAGCTAGTCAACGTTTTAAGTTTGCTTGTTTTTTTAAGATTTTATCAGTGCTGTTTTTTGCCGAGGGCAGACTGCCTTCGGCAAAACAACACTGCTAAAATTTAGAAAAAACAAACAAATATATACATATATATATATATATATATATATATATATATATATATATATATATATATATATATATATATATATATATATATATATATATATATATATATATATATATATATATATATATATATATATATATATATATATATATATATATATATATATATTCGCTTGTTTTTTCAAGAATAATATATTTTTAAAAAGTTTTTCATGTTGGGTATCAGTTGATGGAATATTGTACTAAAACTATTAAATAGTAAAGCATTTTATAAAATCATCGGTCAAAAGTCATATTTAGAAGTTCACTCACGTACGTAGCGCTTGTTAAAATAGCGCTAAATAAACCTTTTTTTCTTTTTTATGTTCAAAACATGTCTTAAATTTTTTTGTTAAGTAAAACTTAAAAAAAAAAACATTTTTTTATAAATTAGAATCAGCAATAAAATGTTTTTTTTAAAATATATAAATATATCTTAGTAAATATTTTCAATTATGTTATTACTTGTTTTACAAATTGCAACGACTAATCAGCAAATAAAGTAACGTCAGTTTTTTGGTAATATTTTCGCGAATATGGTTCCTTACAAATAATTGTCTTTTTAGTTATAATTATAATTTGTAAACATGATTGTATTTAAACACTCTATTTAATATGTTTTGTCTTATAACTTTGATAACATCGTTCTATTACAATCTTCTTTATTAAGTGTTAAACATATTGTTACTGCATTATTATACTATATATTCAACAGTTATTAAAACATTAATAAACAAAAATCTAACTTTTAAAAATAAGTTTTTTTATCATTGTATTAAATTTAAAAAAATGTATTACCCAATCAAAAACCCAACACACAATGCTTGAAGAATGCGGTAAAATAAAGTAAGGTATATATTTTCAATCCTCACAATTTTATTGGTCGGATAATAAAGGAATAAACTTTTGCAAGCCATTTTTCCTGATAATTTAATTTTTTCAACTATTGCCATTTTTATAATTAGTTGCTAATAACAAAGTTTCAGAACCGCTATAATGTAGGCAGATATTATAAGATGACTAAAATGTATCTTGATAAAACAAAAACATTTCTATTTTTTGTTTAATCTTTAAATCAATAGCCGTTGCAACGTTCTTTTTATAGCTTTTTAAACTTTCACTTTAAAAACAAACAAAAGTGTACCCATAAAAAACAAATATAAAACAATAAAAAAACTTTTTTATTTAACGCACCTTATTGGTTTTGTGATCTCTACTTCTCTTATAAATTAGAGGTGGGGATTTTTCTATTTTTGTGTTGACTAAAATAATGCTCAAAAACTTTAAGTGCAAGAAGGCTGTAGTCAATAAAAGCTCTTAATATTCCGTAAATTTATAATTAAAAACAAAACTTATTTTATAATTGATTTTTAAAAATTATTACGTTTTTTTTTGTGTGTTTTTTGTGTTTTTTTTTTTCATTAGAAAAAGCTTTAGGTATTCACTAATCTACCATAGGTAATTTCTAATCTGCTAATCTACTATCTCAAAAACTACAATGATTAAAACTTTTAAATTTATATTTTCAATAAACTTGAGTTATTATATGACATAAAATTGTTAAAAAACTTGCTTTTAGTATCATTATTTAAAATATGTACTTTGTAAACAGTTCTAGACTTGCTCATTTTAAAGGCATTGTATCGTGCATATGAAAACAAATTTTTAGTTAGAATTTGATAAACAAACTGTTAACTTTTTAAGGCATATTATTCTATACTATTACTCTTATTTTTCCGTTAGTGTACATTTAAGTGTAAATTTATTGGTAACTTTTTAATATTGTTCGTTTTTTCGAATTTATAGCAGTACTGTTTTGCCTAGGCCAGAATGGGTCTTATTACGCAAAAACTTTTTATAAGCCCTGTCTATTATTTTATAAAATGCCAAAAAAAACAATATAAATTGTTTTTTATGATTAGTTCTACTTAATGTTGTTTATTTTAATGCTTTAGTTTTTAAAAAATCGCAAATCTAGATTTTTTTTGGAATATTTTACCAGGGTCGACGACACAATTTTTGATAAGGTGAAAAATAAGCAAGATTTTGAAAAAAAATAAGAAAGTTTTTTTTTAATATGCAATACGCTTTTGCTGTGTATTGACGGAATAATATTTGTACTTAAATAAACATTGACAAAAAAAAAGATTTTTTAAAAATCAAGACTGACACAGACAGCAAGCTTAAATTGGCCCAACGTAAGTTTTAACAGTGGCAAGTTTATTCCGTTGGGCCAACATCTAGCCAATGTTTTTTTTCGGAGTATTATTTCCAATTTTGCAAATCGGTTTTTTGCAAATATCGTATTATATTGGGCCAACATTTAACAAATGCTTTTTTTTCGGCGTAATATTGCAATTCTACAAATCGGTTTTTTTGCAATTATCGTACTACGTTGGACCTACATTTGGCCAATGTAGTTTGGGCCTAATATTTTGATGTTCCCCAGACAGCAAGCTTACATTGGCCCAATGTTGGGCCACTGCATGGTGATGCATTGGCCCAACGTTGAAAATCGATGTTGGCCCAATGCAGGTTTGATCATTGGTTAGGTATTGGCCCAATGTTGTGTACAACATTGGCCCAATGTTGTATACAACGTTTACCCAACATTGGCACAACGTTGTATATAACGTTAGGCCAATGTTGTATACAACATTGGCCCAACGTTTTATACAACATTGGCCCAACGTTGTATACAAAATTGGCCCATAATCGTATGTTATACGATTATTATTTTTATATTGGCCTAACGTTTTATGCAACAGATCGTTGTTACAAATAAGATGTAACAACGTTACAACAATTGTTGCAAATATATAACCTAAAAGGTCAAATAACAATTGTTACAAATAACAATTGTTACAAATAACAATTGTCACCTCACCTAAAGACAAAGCTGAATTGTTTGCTAAGAACTTTTCATCAATATCATCTCTTGATTCCACTAGTTACGTTTTACCTGACATAGCCGTCAAACAGGTTGATCCCTTGCTTGACATTCGCATCACTTCAGCTTCTGTATCTAAAGTAATTTCCTGCTTAGACTCTTCAACAGCTTGTGGTCCTGACAACATTCCTGTTGTAGTCTTGCAGAGGTGTTCTCCGGAGCTTTCATCCATACTTTCTAAACTATTTAACAAGTGCTTATCAGAGTCTTGTTTTCCATCATGCTGGAAAGCAGCATCTGTTATCCCTATTTTCAAAAATTCCGGAGAGCGATCTGATTTATCTAACTACCGTCCCATTAGTCTTCTTCCTGTCATAAACAAGGTTTTTGAATCTTTAATCAACAAACACTTAATCTCTCATCTTGAATCAAATAACTTACTTTCTGATCATCAATATGGATTTCGGTCTTCTCGTTCTACAGCTGATGTGCTAACAGTAATAACCGATAGGTTTTACCGTGCATTAGATAGAGGTGGAGAGGTTAAGGCTATCGCACTTGACATTTCTAAAGCTTTTGATAAAGTTTGGCATGCTGGTCTTCTCCATAAGCTTTCTTCTTATGGTGTAGCTGGTAACGTCTTTAAGATTATTGAGTCCTTTCTTTCCAATCGTAGTATAAAAGTTGTCCTCGATGGACAACACTCTTCTTCACATCCTGTAACTTCAGGGGTTCCTCAAGGTTCAATCCTTGGCCCTATACTCTTTTTAATTTACATTAACGATCTTCCAGATATTCTCACATCTAAGGTGGCATTATTCGCTGACGATACTACCATTTACTCTTGTCATGATAAGAAGCCTACACTCTCTGATTGCTTGGAGGGGGTATCTGAGCTTGAAAAGGATCTCACTTCTGCTACAGCATGGGGCTCATAGTGACTGGTGAACTTTAATTCAGATAAAACTCAATTTTATTTGGCCAATCGTTATCGTAATAATTTAGATCTTCCTATATTTATGAATGGTAATGTACTAGATGAGTCATCTACCATTCATCTTCTAGGATTAACTCTTACTTCTGATCTTTCTTTTAAACCGTATATCAAATCCATTGCAAAATTAGCATCTGCTAAGGTTGCATCTCTTTATCGTGCTCGACACTTTCTTACTCCAGATTCTATTCTCTATCTCTATAAATCTCAAATCCGTCCCTGTATGGAATACTGTTGCCACATCTGGGGCGGATCTTCTAATGATGCTCTTTCTCTTTTAGACAAGGTGCAAAAACGAATTGTAAACATAGTTGGACCTGCTCTGGCAGCCAATCTCCAACCTTTGTCACATCGTCGTAATGTTGCTTCTCTTTCTCTTTTCTACAAATACTATAATGGGCACTGCTCTAAAGAGCTAGCGTCCCTTGTGCCATCTACTAAAATTCATTCTCGTGTTACTCGCCATTCAATTAAGTCTCATCCTTTTTCTGTGACTGTTCCTAAGTGCTTCAAAAACTCTTATTCTTCTAGCTTTTTTCCTCGAACATCAGTTCTTTGGAATTCGCTTCCTTCATCTTGCTTTCCTGATTCATATAATTTGCAATCTTTTAAGTCATCAGTCAATCGTTATCTTGCTCTACAGATTTAGTTTTTTCTCTTCAGTAACTTCCAACTCTTATAGTGGTTGCTTGCAGCCTTGTTGGAAGTGAAGATGTTAAAAAAAAAAAAAAAAAAAAAAAAGATGATTTGCATCGCTACATTGAAAAATTATAGAGAAAAAAAAGAATGTATTATACAAGTATAAATATTTATTTATTAAACATAATTTCTCGGTTAAATATACATATTGCAAACACCAAACTTATACCAAAAACTGACACATTGAATTTTAAATAAAAAAATTCACTAAAAAATTGATAGAGTAGTTTTGATATTGACTGAGCTACTTGTTATTGAATCGTGTTTAGCTTATGATATTTGGTGCCCACGATTATCATTTTTTCTTCCGCTATCTCTATCACTGGTCTGCATAAGCCATGCTTAATTGACTTTACAGTTTCTGCAAAAAAAAATAGTTGTTTGTTTAATTATGCACCAAAGAAACATAACAAATTAAAAGTAATTCTGTAATACAAAATTGAAACTGAAAAAATAAGCTGTTATGTTTTTTCTAAACCACGTACCAATAGCAGCATATGCAATCAACATTATTTAATTATTTATTATATTTCAATTTTTTATCCTCTCCCTGCATAATTTAATTTTAGAGCTAGGCCATTTTAACAAACTATTCTTAGTAAATAACATATACAATCTCCTTCGTCTTTAACTCCAATTTGTGCCAAATAATTAATTTGCAAAAATACACAGCCTGGCAGTAATTAAAGTAACTTTAGTTTAGACTTAAATTAATATAAAATGTCATTTACAAAAAATCTTCAAAGAGTATTTTATTTAAAGTATATAAATTGTACTACATATCATACTAAATGCATAAACAGATCATAAAAAAATATTTACCATTTACTGAAGTGTTTTCTTGTCTTTTTTCTTCCAAAGTACTTGAATTCTTCACTGCTTTTAATGGCAATGACACTCTTTCAGGCAATACAATAATTAGCATACCTTTGATACTTAAATTTTTATAACTGAATTTGATGTATTTTGTAGTTCACCAAGTTGCACTTCAATGCTTGCCCATTTTGCCAATAATACCAGCATATCTTTCAAGGATACAACTTTATCTTAAAACAATAAAGTTAATTATATTATTAAGAAACTATACAACTAATTATATATTATATTTAGAATTTATGAAAGTAAACACAACAATCGCTAACAAAACAGATAAAGTTAAAGGCAGAGGGCCAAACCTTTAATGATCAAAATATATACTTGCTAATGGATTCATAATATTTTTATGAATTATGAAATTAGCAGGTGCGCATTCAATTTCTGGGACTGACACAAAACAATTCTTATTATTGTTTGAGATACACATTGCAATGTAAAACAAAAAAACTCATATTAAAACAATGTTTCTCCAACAGGGTTCGTAGCCAACTATTTATATAAAATTAATTGACTTTTTTGAAAAATCAGATGAATTTTCATGAAGATTTTTAACAATGGTTTTTACAAAATGTTTAAAATTACTATCTACTGTAATGGAAATGCTAAGAATATACATGCTTTGAATGACAAAACATATAAAACTTAGCTATTACTTAAGTTAGATATTAGTATAGGTCTTATTATACATGTTAGTATGGTTCTTATTATCAAGGATGATTAAGAATGAACACTAAGAAAAACATGTTTTAGAAAAAATAAATTAGTAACACCAAAAAAAACATAACAGCTTAATTGAGCGCTGTATTTTGAAAATGTGACAAGTCACAAAATTAAAAATTTACAGGAGAGTAAAAAACATTTTTCCTAAAAAAAATTTTGTTTTTATTTTAACTAAAAATTATTTTTTTTATCAAAAAAAAATCTTTATTTTATCTAAAAAATCTTTTTTTTATCTTAAAATTTTATCTTTTACTAAAAAAAAATATTCTTTTCAAATAACCTCAATTTTAAAAAGTGTGACTCTTCACGTTTTCAAAATACAGCGTTCAATTGCAAAATGAGTAACTTCTTAACTAGAATTACTGACTTTTCCATGACTATCTAAAAAAAAAAAATAATTCCCTGACTTTTCCAGGTTTTCCACCACTTTGGCCAATATTAACATATTTTCCAGATTTTCCCGGTACAGTACAGACCTTGTCCAATGTTTGAATATAATTTTTTTTATACATATTTTAGTTCTGAATTTTAATAATACAATTTAAAAAACAATATCATCTATAAAAATATCGTATTACCTTTGTCTATTAGAATAAATGTTTATATAATAAATAATAATGAACCACCAGCAACTGTTAAAACTTTAAACTGATATGAACAGTCTGTTGTTTTTTTCAACAGTTGATTTCAAATGGATTTCAAAGTTGGTGACTTTGAAATCCAAAAAAATTTTTGTTACGTTCATAAACATAAATGTTCTTATTTACCTGGCCAGTTCTTCGCAACTAAATATAATTTTGGTGGTCAGTATCCAAGAGCGATCGCTCCCGCTTTCTGATCAAGCCAGTGGTGTAAGCTTTGATATGTTGATTATTATAAAATAAAATGTTAATTACACTCTGACTTTTTGACCGTAATATATGAAAAAGTCTTTAAAATTGTAAAAGTTAAAGCTATGAATAAAGATTTTCAATCATCAGACATAAAGAATTTTATATAAAAACTTACCATTTAATAAATTTTGTTCACTTAACTTCTCAGAGCAAACATTGAACTTCTGTAAAGAGTTTGTAGTTACAGGTAAATCCCTAAGTTTAATAATATTTTTAGTTTTATTATAAGAAATTGAGGATAAATCATCTAAACCAAGATATACACAATTTTTTGTCTCTTTAATCTTTATTTTGGCTGGTTATTTTTGCTATCTTCCTTTTTTGTCTCCAGAGCAGAAGTTTAGCCTTCTGCTAAATTCAATCTTGTATTGGTATAAAAATTTATAAATCAAATTATTAATAATTAAGTTATAACGAAAGTTAATGTATAAGCTTAAAGTTGTTAACTGCATTACGTAAACTAATTATGAAAAATATCCAGAGATATTAAATTAAAAATTATAAAACCAAGAATAATGTCCCTCTGCCTCAGAAAGATGGAATATATAAAGGGTTGTTTCAATTTAAATCATGATTTAAACCAGACAAATAAAAATAATTATTTAAATTGAGTCTTTTTATTTCAATTGATTTTAAAGATTATTTATTGATTTAATCTCATAATTCAATAAATTATTTTAGACTAGTCATTGGTCTCAAAACAAAATGTCTGGCAATATTAGAAAGCTCTACATAAGTAGAATATAAATTCTAATAACATCACTTTTTGTACACTGTTTTAATATTTTAGTAGATGGGGTTTCACAATCAAACAAAAAGACATACTTAAAATGTAAAATATCAGCTTCTATAGAAGCTGATATTTTACATTTTAAGTATGTCTTTTTTGTTTGATTGTTGTTATAACAACTTCAATGCCACATATATATTACTGATACCTTTAATAATATATCTTATAATAGCTATAAAATCTAAACTATTATAAATAAACTATGAAAAAAATTTTTTTTCAATACTTATTCTGTATGACATTTCAAATGTTTGATATATTTAATAAAGAAGAATTTAAAATGTCTTCTTTATTAAATAAATCGAACATTTGAAATGTTACATTTATTTAATAAAGATTATTAAATAAATCAAACATTTGAAATGCTAATACAGCAATAAGTATAAAAAATAACTTTAAGATCTTACACAAAAATGATTTAATTATTACCTTTATTATTACATTAATAATTTACATTGCAGTAAAAAATGTTTCAAGTTTATTATTTAACTGGTAACAAATATTTCATTATTAAAAAAAAACAAACACTAAGTCACGAGAATCTCTTGAAATTTATTTCATATAACAAACCTTTTAAGATTTTTAGAAGATTCATAAATATAGCTTCTTTTTTTTATATATATATAATTTAAAAAAATGGAAAGATAATATCAAAACCTTTTTTTATTCGGTCAAACGATACCATTGTTAAAAATATTTACTAATCCGCAACTACATTGGCTTCGGCTTAAATGTAAGAACAGATTTTTAAAGCAAAATATTAAGCCTAAACTACCTTGGACAAATGTTGGCCCAACGTAGTACGATAATTGCAAAAAACCGATTTGTAGAATTACAATATTACGACGAAGAAAAAACATTGGCTAAATGTTGGCCCAATATAGTACGATATTTGCGAAAAACCGATTTGCAGAATTGAAAATAATACGTCGAAAAAAAAACATTGGCTAAATGTTGGTCCAATGTAAGCTTGCTGTCTGGGTCTTACATTTATACCTTAGCCAATACTCAGCCAATGTAGTAGCGGATTAGTATATACTTTAAAATTTGTTGCAAAACACTTTTAAAAATGGCATCGTTTGACAAAATAAATAAAAGTTTTGATATTATCTTTCCATTCTTTTAAATTATAAAAATAAAAAACAGAAGGTATATTTATTAATTTTCTAAGAATCTTATAAGGTTCCTTATAAGAAATTAACTTCAAGAGATTCTCGTAACTTAATGTTTTGTTTTTTTAAATAATGAAATATTTGTTAACATTTAAACGTAAGGCTTAAAACATTTTTTACTACAATTTAATTTATTAATGTAGCAATAAAGGCAATAATCAAATTATTTTTGTGTAAGATCTTAAAGTTATTTTTTTATTTTTATTGCTGTATTGGCATTTCAAATGTTTGATTTATTTAATAATCTTTATTAAATAAATGAAACATTTCAAATGTATTTTTGTGTAAAATCTTAAAGTTATTTTTTTATTTTTATTTCTGTATTAGCATTTCAAATGTTTGATTTATTTAATAATCTTTATTAAATAAATAAAACATTTCCAATGTTTGATTTATTTAATAAAGAAGACATTTTAAATGTCTTCTTTATTATATAAATCAAAAATTTTAAATGTCACACAGTATAAGTTTTTTTTTCATAATTTATTTACAATAGTTTAGATTATATAGCTATTATAAAATATATTATTAAAGGTATCAATAATACATATGTGGCATTGAAGTTATTTGAAGCTGATATTTTGCATTTTAAGTATGTCTCTTTTGTTTGATTATTTCTGTGTTTGATTGTGAAACCCCATCTACTAATATATTAAAACTGTACAAAAAGTGATGTTACTAGAATTTATATTCTACTTATGTAGAGTTTTCTAATATTGCCAGACATTTTATTTTAAGACCAATGCTAGCCTATAATAATTAATTGAATTATGAGATTAAATGGTAAAGCTACAGTTATGCAGCCTAAAATAATTATATTTTTGCGCTTGTTGTGCCAGGGGGTTTGGCTACATCAACTATCTTATAGCCTACTGCTAAAAGAAAGTGCTGCTTCATCGAATGATGGTTTGGCATGGGAGCAATCTTTTTTCACTTTATTAATTCAATTATGTTCCTATTGTTTGTAAAGCCTCTACTGACAACCGGAAAATTAAAATTATTCTAGGCCGCGGAACAGTAGGATTACCATTAAAAACAATTAAAATAAAAAAACTCAATTTAAATCATTACTTTTATTTTTCTGATTTAAGTCATGATTTAAATCGAAACAACCCTTTATATATTCCGTCTTTCTGAGGCAGAGGGACATTATTCTTGGTTTTATTATTTTTTAATTTAATATCCCTGGATATTTTACATATTGAGTGTGCGTACAACAATTAACAACTTTAAGCTTATTCATTAACTTTAGTTATAACTTAACTATTAATGATTTGATTTATAAATTTTTAAAGCAATACAAGATTAAATTTAGCAAAAGGCTAAACTTCTGCTCTGGAGAAAAAAAAGGAAGACAGCGAAAATGATAAAGAGACAAAAAATTGTGTATATCTTGGTGTAAATGATTTATCCTCAATTTCTTATAATAAAACAAAAAATATTATTAAACATTGGGATTTACTTGTAACTCGAAACTCTTTACAGAAGTTCAATGTTTGCTCTGAGAAGTTGAATGAACAAAATTTATGAAATGGTAAGTTTTTATATAAAAGTGTTTATGTCTGATGATTGAAAATCTTTTTCATAGCTTTAACTTTTACAATTTTAAAGACTTTTTTATTATTACGGTCAAAAACTCAGAGTGTTAATTAACATTTTATTGTATAATAATCAACATGTCAAAGCTTACACGACAGGCTTGGTCAGGAAGCGGGAGCGATCGCTCTCAAATACTGACCACAGAAAATATATTTAGTTGCGAAAAACTAACCAGCTTTTTTTAGTTGTTTTGAGAACATTTAAGTTTATGAATGTAACAAAAAATTTCTGTTCCATTTCAAAGTTGGTGTCACCGACTTTGAAAACCATTTGAAATCGAATGTTGAAAAAAACAACAGTATTTGTATTTAAATCAGTATTCATATCAATTTAAAGTTTTAGCAGTTGCTGCTGATTCATTATTATTCATTATATAAACGTTTATTTAAATTTATCTAATAGACGAAGGTAATACGATATTTTTATAGATGATATTATTTTTAAAAATAGTGTTATTAAAATTCAGAACTAAAATATGTAAAATAAATTATTTACAAACATTAGACAAGGTCTATACCTTGAAAATCTGGAAAATTTGTTAATATTGGCTAAAGACGTGGAAAAGTCAGGAAATTATTTTTTTCTTTAGATAGTCATGGAAAAATCAGTAATTCTAGTTAAGAAGTTACTCGTTTCACAAATGAACGCTGTATTTTGAAAACGTGATGAGTCACTCTTTTTTTAAAAGTGAGGTTATTTAAAAAGAATATTTTCAAAAAAATATTCTTTTCAAATAACCTCACTTAAAATAAAAGAATATTAAGATAAAGATTTTTTTAGATATAATAAAGATTTTTTTAGAGAAAAGAAACAATTTTTAGATAAAATAAAAATAAAATTTTTTACAGGAGAAATATTTTTCACTCCCTTGTAATATTTTAATTTTGTGACTTGTCACATTTTCAAAATACAACGCTCAATTAAGCTATTATGTTTATTTTTGGTGCTACCCATTTATTTTTTCTGAAACTTATGTTTTTTTTAGTATTCATTCTTAGTCATCATTAAAGTACAATTTGGTTAACTACAAAACACATCAAGTTCAGTTATAAAAATTTGAGTAACAATGGTATGCTAATTATTGTACTGCCTGAAAGAGTGTCATTGCTATTAAAAGCAGTGAAGAATTCAAGTACTCTGGAAGAAAAGAAAATACGTAAGTAAATCGTAAATATTTTTTTATAATTTTTTTATGCATTTTGTATGATATCTTAGTACAATTTATATACTTTAAATAAAATACTCTTTGAAGATTTTTTGTAAATTACATTTTATATTAATTTAAGTCTAAACAAAAGTTACTTTAATTATTGCCAGGTTGTGTATTTTTGCAGGTCAATAATTTGGCACAAATCGGAGTTAAAGACAAAGGAGATTGTATACTTTATTTGCTAAGAATAGTTTTTAAAAATGGCCTAGTTGTAAAATTAAACTATGCAGGGAGAGGACAAAAATATGGAATAGAAAAACGTTGATTGCATATGCTGCTATTGGTAAGTGATTTAGAAAAGTTTATTTTTTCAGTTTCAATTTTGCATTACAGAATTACTTTCAATTTGTTATGTTTCTTTGGTGCATAATAAAAAAAAAATAACAATCGTGGGCACCAAATATCATAAGCTAAACACTATTCAATAACAAGTAGCTAAGCCAATATCGAAACTACTCTATAAATTTTATAGTGAATTTTTTTATTTAAAACTCAATGTGTCAGTTTTTGGTTTAAGTTTGGTGTTTGCAATATGTATATTTAACTGATAAATTATGTTAAATAAATAAATTTTTATAGTTGTATCATGCATTCTATTTTTTCCTTATAAATTTTCAATGTAGCGATGCAAATCATCTTATTAATAACAACGATCTAATGTTGCATAAAACGTTAGGCCGATATATAACAAACGATATTGGGCCAATGTTGTATACAACGTTAGGCCAATTTTGTATACAACGTTGGGTCAATGTTGTATACAACGTTAGGTATTCAACCTTATATTTAACGTTGAGCCAATGTTGGGTAAACGTTGTATACAACATTGGGCCAATGTTGTACACAACATTGGGCCAATACCTAACCAATGATTGGGCCAATACCAAACATGCATTAGGCCAACATCGACTTTCAACGTTAGGCCAATGCATCATCATGCATTGGCCCAACGTTGGTCCAATGTAAGCTTGCTGTCCGGGGAATGAAGCATTTATAAGCGTTAGAGCAAAATATAAATGTAATAAAGAAAAACAAAACTATATTCATCAACCAAATAAATGCTCTGCTAAATAAGTAAATGAAATAAAAAAAGATTCGAATTTGGCTCTTAATAAGATCTGGCCATTTTTAGGGCACTTTGCCCTAAAAAGCAAACGTTGGTTTAAAAGAAACATTTTAAAATAAAAAAAACAACAAACAGCACTATAGGGGTTTAATAGTTAATCCAAATGGATATAATTTATCAAAAAAAATGCATACAATACTGCAAAACAATAAAGATTAGTTAGTAATTTGAAATACCTTAGGTTTTTCACGTGCGCCACGAGATATCAGAAGTTTTTATAATGTTTGAAATAACATGAAAGTAACGCATGCGTATTCAGACCCGAAAACACAGGGGTGAGAAGGAAGATGAACACGTGCGCCTCTAAATGATCTTCTTTTTTTTTTTTTAATCTAGATATAAAGGACTTTTTTGTCAACAGAGCGATGTTTTCGCATATCAATCTGTAAAAAAACTTTTTATTTATAATAAGAAGAGGTAGAAAGTAATATAAGTAAGAAAAATTTATTAAAACAAGAACTAATGCATTTAAACAAAATTTTCAAGAAAAAAATATCTTGTTTTGAATGTTTATTTTTATCTTTGGTTGCTCAAATCAAGATAATTTGGTCTTATACAAAAATCATTATGAAGATTAGCTTAAAACAAGAAATTATTATTTGGATTTTATTTATGGACCAATTATTTTCTTGTTTTAAGCTAATTCAAGCGCAATATATTTCTGAAGTTTTTTGATATTTTAAGTTGATATATTAACTTATAATATCAAAAAACATTATTAACTTTATAATATTCAATATTATTAATAATACCCATTTTCTAAATTTAGTGCCATTATGCAAATGTGAGGACTTTTTTATTAAACTTTTTTTTTGGAGGAGTGGGGGTAAGGAGAGGAGGCTCGTACGTAGTAGACACCACGCTACTTATAAACTCATTTTATATTTCTACAGGAATAGGATTTTACTATAGGATATTGTAAACAAATATATAAAGAAAACTAGATTAGATATTCAGTTAGTTAACTTTAGTACTATAAAACTAAAGTTTTACATATTGTCACATATTTAAAAAAGTATTATGGCAAAATGTCATTTTAAAGTCAAATTTATTTGCAAAATCCGAAATAATTTAGTGTTTAAATGGAGCTAACTTGTTTAACTTTTGTTGGTCAGATTTTATACTTTTAAAAATATATATATTTCAGAAAATAACGAAAGAAATTAAGTTAACAAAAACATATTAAAGTTTTGTTTTTTTCTAAAATTTAGTTAAAATCCTTAAATATTTTAATAATACATGCAAAAGAATATTATATGTTACATTTTTACATTTAAAGTTTTAAATAACGAATGAAATTAATAATGTTTAGTTAAAGTATATTTTAATTTTAAATTTGTGTAATATAAGTTAAAACTACATGCGTTTACTAAAGTTCTTTTACGTAAAGTTTTGTTGCATTCAAAACGAACAATTACGTTTTTACGTAATTCTTATTTAGTTAATATTTTTATTTAGGTAGATAAAGCGTTTGTAAATGCAACTATTTTTCTAGGTCTTATTCGGCAAAAGCAGATACGTCATCCTTTAATAACTATTTGGATGGCGCTGACGTCACCCTATATTTTTTAATTTTTAAAAACTTCCCTCTTGTTACAAAAGATAACTAAAACCTGGATCCCTATTTAAATCTCCCTTTCCACATAAAAAACCTTATTGGGCGGCCTAGTTATTAAACTGGACGGAGAAGTTGAAATTTCTGCTATGAACACATGCGTTTTTGAAGACATTTTCTTTATAGTTTTGCTTTTAGCTGAGTTGTTTTAAACTTTTTTTCATAACTTTTTTTTAGTTTTTTATAAGTAATGAGTTAAAAAACAAAAAAAATATATGTTACAAATATATACTTGTATGAGAAAAATATTTAGAGTCCCGGAAATCGTCGGAAAAAGATAACTGGTGATTCTAGGGTGTCTCAAACCATCACCTCATCCACGCAAACTATAAGACACACTTGTAATAACACACATAATAAAAACTTTTCTTGGGGTGTAAAATGAAACAATAACAACTTTTTGTATAAAAAAGCTACTACTTCATTTAAGTACACACTTATGGATGAAATTTGCATTTATTAGATACAAAAGACGGTGGTTCATTGCCTCCTCGTACTCCCTGAAAACACCGTTTACCAATTACTAAAGTAAACACATAATCTTTTTATACACCTATCTTTAGATACCAAGATATAGATTTTTAAGTAAGTATTGACAAAGTTGTAACAACTTTACTAAAAGAATATTAAATCTGACCACAGTTTCTTTGACAAATCCATAGCAAAAAATCGGTACTTAAAACGTCATTACTTTAGGTAGGTGTGTTGGATTTTAACACCTTTTTCACCGTTAATATACTGTATTGAAGCTCTTTCTGAGGATAAATAACAGTCTAGTTAAATAAGAATCTTCTATAAATAATTTAATAAAGTTCATGACATATACCTTATATATGTTTAAAATATTTTTGTATATATTTTTATATATATTTTTATATATATTTATATAGAAGTAAGTAGTATTATAATAATATTTACTAGGGAAAATAATGATATAATATTATTTTATAATTAATAAAAAGTCCTCCTTATCTTAACATTATCTTATTCATTTTTAGGCTCTGGCCCATAAAAAGACCTCCAAAAACAAAATTAGTCCCGTGCCACAAGAAGTCTTAATCCGCTACTGATTTGTATGTATGAAGATCATCACAAATATTGAGGAGAAAGGCTTGATTTCGAAACAACTTATTTAAAAGAATTAATAGTTTAAAAATAGTGTCATTTTTGTGTTCATGTACAATGTCATTCATGTTGTATTTTGTAATTGAAACAGCAATAATGCTATTACTACCATAATTTGTTCCATATAAAATTATTCAACAAACTCTGTAAGCATATTTTATTTCAATATTTCAACACCAGTTAACAAACTACAACCATCAATCTCACTGCATAAAGTTTTTAAATACTTATTACTCAATCTTGATAAAGCCCCACATTTTTTATCGGAGGCAAAAAATGGATGATAATTCTTTTCTGCAAATGAGTTAACAAATTTAGGCAATCCAAAAACTGACATCATTTTGTTAATGGAAATGTTATATTTTAAAAGTTTTGTTTCCAAACTATTTCTTTAAAATACTGATGCGCTGCTTTAAAACTAAAACACGATGAGCTGACTAGTGGACCGAAAAATTTATTTAATTATGGTAGATAAACAAAATAGTGCTGCATTGGAAGAATATTTTATTAAAAAACAGCTCTTTAAATTTATGAAGATGCTCAGAAATCATTTGTTTCAAATCTTCTATTGTGTTCAATCTAATTTCTGGAGAAAGAATAATATTAACAATCTCTAATAATTCAATTATAAATAAATAATACTCATCATCGCTTTGAACAAATGGAGGTAATAAAAATGGAAATATTTGAAGAAAGAGTTTAGTTTAAGAAGGCTATGTTTAAGAAGCCTAAGTACCAAACAGGAGATTAAGTTTGGTG